TGGCTAGTTGGGTCTGGTAGTGCAGTTTAGCATTTATTCCATAGGGAAGTTAGATATTTAGGCCTTATAACCTAAGTTATTCTGGAACTTTTTAAGTTAATAAAACACACACACATAAACATGATTTTGTATCACACAGTTTTCAAAATTCAATCCTGGTTTTTAATTTTTAAATTGCAAAATGATTGTACATATGATTTTTTTTTTTTTTTTCCTATTTTGAGACTGTTGTTGATGCTGCTATAAAGTGGTGTTAAGCTGGTTTTGCTCGTAACAACCCTGTAGAGGATTTCTGAAGAGTGGCTGGTGGATTTGAACCACTGACCTTGTGGTTAACAGTCCAGTGCTTCTCCTACAGTACCACACTAAGACTCCATTTTGAGACTAAAGACCATTGATGGTTGTTAAGTGCCCTTGACTCGGTTCTGACTCATAGCACGCCTTTTCGAGGAGCGGCAGGTGGATTTGAACCACCACCTTGTGGTTCAAATCAACTCTGTAGTCTAGTACTTATCCTACAGCACCACACCAGGACTCCCTAAAGATCATTATATGGCTTTTGTTTAACTAAATAGTCAACTACCTTAATTGGTTAATTGGGAAATTAAACATACTGAAACTGTTGCTGGAGTTTAGCAAAAGTGATGATTCTGTTTGTGGTTACTATTGCCTCCTAATCTAATTGTTTACAACAAATTTTGCATGTGCTAAGCAGTTTTGTTTAAGTTAATGGCATCAATTGCTTGTATTACTAACCTAACCATAATCTAATAATTGCTTTTTGTTAATAAACTGCACAAAACTACATCTAAATATTAGGTACAGACTTGCTCTGGACCTAACTAGTACCAGTTTGGAGAGTAAATTGTACTCCTTTCTTTAAAATCTCCTTTCAGGGATGTCATTATCAGCTGTGGTGGAAGTATTTACACCACAGGAATTGGTAAATTCAAGGGAAGGGTGTTTGTTTGGTCACAGAGCAGTTTTATGAGATACCAATGGACAGTGCAGAGAGTTGTTGTTGTAGTTAGGTGCCACAAAGTCGGTACCAACTCATAGTGACCCTATGTACAACAGAACAAAACAATGCCTGGTCCTGAGCCAACGTCACAATCATTGGTACGCCTGGGCCCATTGCTGCTACCTCTAAGACAATCCAGCTTATTGGGGGTCTTCCTCTTTTCCTCCGACCCTCCACTTTACCAAACACGCTATCCTTCTCCAGTGAATGGTCCCTCCTGATAATATGTCCAAAGTATAAAAGATGAAGTGTGACCACCCTGGCTTCCAAGTAGCATTCTGGCTATACTTGTTCAAATGCAGATGTGTTTGTTCTTTTGGCAGTCCATGGTACTTTTAATATTCTCCTGCAACACCATAATTCAAATACATCAATACTTCTATGGTCTTCCTTCTTTACTGTCAAACTTTCATATGCTTATGAAATTACTGAATAGAACATGGCATGAATCAGGCACACCTTAGTCCTCAAACTGACATCTTTGCTCTTCAACACTTCAAAGATGCCTTGTGCAGCAGATTTGCATAATGCAATATGTCGTATGATATCTTGACTGCTTGCTTCTATAAAGTTTGATGATTGATCCAAATAAAATTAAGTCTGGTCAAGCTGAGTATTTTTTTTCATTTATATGAATTTGTTTATTGGTGCAGTGGTGATACATTCTTTTTGAGATGAATGTGATGCCAATGCTCTTTAATTTGTCATTCCTGGCATAGGAAACCATGTGATTGTCAGATTCAAAATGTCCAATACCAGTCCATTTCAGCTCTCTAATGCCCAGGATATTGATGTTTATGCGTTCCATTTCATTTTGACGATTTCCAATTTTCCTAGATTCATACTTTGTACATTCCATGTTCTGATTGTTAATGTATGTTTACAGCTGCTTCTCTTCAGTTTTGAGATTTGCCCACTTCAGCAAATGAAGGTTCCTAGGGATTTACTCCATTCACATCATCACTGTCAACACTGAGGAGGTAGTTCTTCCCTTGCCGTATTTTGAGTGCCTTCCAACCTGAGGGGCTCATCTTCCAGCACTATATCTGACAATATTTTGGTGCTCCTCATCAAGTTTCAGTATTCAATATTCTAGTGCTGACAGTGTTCCATTGCTATTTATAAGGTTTTCAGTAACTAAATATTTGGAAGTAGTCCATCTCTCTTTCTTCCTAGTCTGTCTTCATCGGGAAGCTCAGTTAAAACCAATCCATCATGGGTGACCCTGCTGGTATTTATAATACCCGTGGCATAGCTTCCAGCATCACAGAAACACACAAACCACCACAGCACAACAAACTGACAGAGAAGTGGTGGAGCAGAGGGTAGGATTATAAATGCCAGTTTTAGGCCACACAGCAGTGACGTGCATAAGATGAGATATTTATTATGAGTGCTAGCTTCCCCAAAGGTGAGGACTGTTTTAGCACTAACATTGTTTAGAATTGCTAGCTTATAGAAATAATAATAATAATGTCAAGTTAAGTCTTTAAATTGTCTACAGACATGTTTCTCTCATATTCTGTACAAGATTCTTCTCCCTATTGTCAGCACCCAGGAAATACCCCTCCCACTCACTCCCCACCTCCACCCTATCGTACTCATTGGCCAGTGACCATTGATGTGACATTTAACCTCTTTAAGCCTCAGTTTTCTCATCTGTCCAATGGAACCATAAAACCTACCATGCCGATTTCTTGTGATGATTGGAGACAATATAGAGTACACAGTACATGCTCACTCATGGTAATAAGTATAAATATACCTTTGTGAATTTCCTCATTGGCTTAAGGGAGAAGGAGAGAAAAATTGACAAATTTTGCAGATCAACAGCACCTTCTTATCTATATCTGCTGCCCTTTCCAGCCTTTGTCTGTTGCTGCTCCCTTCATTTGGAGTCACTCACTTCTCCCCGATTTCTGCAGCTTCGAACTCTATTCATCTTTGAAATTTGAACCAATTGCTACCACTTCTATGAGGCTTTTAGTCCCTCAGCTGACATCAGCTCTCCTTCCTCCAAAATTCCAGACCCTGTGGGCAATCTCTGGCAGCCTCCTAGACCTACCAGATTAGAATCTGTAGTTTAACAAGATCCCCAGGGGATTTGTGAACACATTAAAATATAAGAAGCTCTGCTCTGAACCACTGGTTCTCAAACTTAGCTTCACATTGGAATTCCCTGGGGGAATTTTTAAAATATCTCCTTGCTTAGGCCCTACCTCAACAGATTCTGACTCCGTTGTACTGGAGTGAAGCCTCGGCATCAGGATTTTTTAAATTCCCAGGTGAGACTAATATGCTGCAAAGTAAGAGAACCCAGCTCTATGAACTCCCCTTGTACCTTCTAATTGGGCTGGCAGCTCTCATGCTACCGTGATTTGTGTGCATGTATTTTTTTTCACATCTATTAAACTAAAAAATCTTTTTAAATTCAATTTTTATCAGCTTCTACCTAATCCTAGAACCTAATACTTAGTCATATAATAAACCAAACCTAATCCATTGTTGTTAAGTGAATTCTGATGACGACAGCCCCACGTATTACAGTAGAACTACTCCATAGGGTCTTCTTGGCTACAGTCTTCAAGGAAACGAAACCTCGTGGCGCAATGGTTAAGCACTTGGTTGCTTAAAAAAAAAGGTTGGTGGTTCAAACCCAACAATGGCTCTCCGGAAGAGAGGCCTAGCAATCCACTTTCATGAATATTACCCGATGTCATCAAATGAATTGATTCTTAGTGACCCTACATAGAGTTTCCAAGTCTGTGAATCTTTATGGGAGCAGACAGCCCCATCTGTTTCTCACAGAGCAGCTAAAGATTTCGAACTACTGACTGACATCTAACCCACACAGTACCTCCAGGACCCCTTCTCCTAAAGAGTAAAGCCTAGAAACCCCTATGGAGTAGATTCTACCCGTCACATGGACTCACTATAAATCAGAATCAGCTCAAAAATACACAGCAACAATAATCTTTACAGAAACAGAACGCCAGGGCTTTCTTCCACAGCACTGCTGGGTGGATTTGAACTATAAACCTTAAGATTAGTTGGTGTTGCTAAACTCCGTCAAGTCAGTTCCAACCCAGAACAACCCTGTATAGGGTTTCTGAGGAGCAGCTGGTAAGCTTGAACTGCTGACCTTGTGGTTCAAACCAATTTTGCAATCCAGTGCATTAACCCACAACGCCACACCAGGACTCCAAGGTTAGTAGTCAAGCACAAACTATTTGTACCACCTAGCAATCTAGCCACATTACAGTCATTTAATTAATATTTGTTAAATGAATAATGAATGAAGTTTTGCTGTGTAATCTCAAACTATTTACTTCTCAGTACTTTGTTGTTGTTTGCTGTGGAGTCGGTTCCGACTCATAGCGACCCTGTGCAGGGTTTCCGAGGCTATAAATCTTTACGGGAGCAGAACGCCTCATCTTTCTCTCGCAGAACCGCTGGTAGTTTCGAACTGCTGACCTTGCGGCTCGCAGCCCGATTCGTAACCTACATTTTGCATTAATTTGAAGGTTTATTGTTGTTTTTAAATGCTGGGAAGTTTGTTCTTAGTCAGCAACCTTGCTGAGGAGTGGCTGGTGAGTTTTAACTGCCAACCTTGTGATTAGCAGTCCAGTGCTTACCCTACAGGATTTTGAAGATTGTTTTTGTTAAGTGCCATCGAGTCAGCTCTGACTCATAGCGACCCTTTTATAGGGTTTCTGAGGAGCTGCTGGCAAGTATGAACCATTGATAAATGAGTAGGAAGCTGGTGGCTAGAACAGGTTTTTAAACTAAGAATAGAGTCTCCAGGAACCAGCAAGGCCAGCCACAGCTATCTCCACCAGCTGCTTATATAAAGCCACAGCTTGGAATCCAGAGACTCCAGAGGGCAATGCAAAATGGTGCAGGCCACCCCCACACACTCCCCAACTGACTCAGAACCTCTGGCTGAAATATGATGATGTTACTGTTTCTTCCTCTCCAGGGTGCTGTTCAGATATTTATGGGGATTGTTGTTCTCACTATGAAGGCATCTGTTATTGAAATGTTCCTTGGTAAGTACTTTTATATGTGTATCTGGATACTCTTTTAACATTTTCTTGAGGTCCAAAGAAACAGCCACGGAAAGTTTTAAACTAAGAACACATGAGTAACACAGTGTATCTTTTTACTATCAACATGTTGGAAAGTAGTTTAAGTGAGAATGTTAAATGTAGATTAAATTCAGGGTGTCCATATGCGTATTTTTTTATATATAAAGCAAACATATGAGGATGAGTCCAATAGCCCTGCTACAAAATCAAAGAAATCTTTATTAAATAAAAACATCAAAATGTTTGGGAAAGAAGGAGAAATGGAAACAAGAAACACAGGGATGGAGGGGGATAGGTGATGTTACAATGAGAGAGTGCAATCATTGATGTGAATGTGAAGGGTGTGATCTGTTGAATAAAAAACTGATGATCCACTCCGGAAACCTTCCCTCAATTCACAATAAAAAGTTTATAAACATAGATATATACATTGATGCTGCTGTTAAATGCTCTCCAGCTGGTTCTGGTTCATAGCGATTCTGTATAGGGTCTCTGAGGAGCGGCTGGTGAGTCTGAACTTCAAACTGACCTTACAATTCAGTGCTTATCCTACAGCACTCCTCCAAGACTCCAGATAAAACAACAAATATATATATATACACACACACACATACATATATATTCCTTGTGTGGCACTGCAGGATAATATGCTGGACTGCAAGGTTGGTGGTTCAAGATCACCAGCTGCTCCTTGGAAACCCTATACAGGGTCGCTATGGGTAGGAACCAACTCGACGGCACTTAGCAACAACACAACACTCCCCTGAAGAATGCTGCACTCTTCAATTTACACCTCATCAAAACAGAAGTTTTGGCACCCTCAAGGGATTAAAATCCTGTTCCTTTTAAATGCTTTTTTGAGTTTGTAAAGCAAAAATAAAAGCAGTCTGGTGTACATCAAAAACAAACAAACAAACAAAAATCAGCGGGAATAGAAGCAAATACTGTTAAATGATGATGCAGCATGTAGGGGATTGTAACCATTGCAATGAAATGATGAGTGTAAAACCAATATTCTCCCATGTAAACTATCATTCAGTTTATAATAAAAGCTTTAATGAATAAAAAATAAAACAGTCTAAAGATCAGGTTTGTAAGGTAGATGGAGTAAGACCTTCCAATGAAATAATACTCTTAAAAAATGATAATTTGCTCAAAGAATGAGCAGGTGTATGGTTGTGATGGAAACAATTTCCTCAGTGCAATTTTCTAGTTTTTTTCTCACCAGTGCAAATTTCCATTTTCTTAAAACTTCTTCATAATAACCCTCCACGATTGTCCTGTGTCCTTCAAGAAAATCTATCAAGATTATCTCTCCAGAATCCCCAAAAATAGACACTGTAAGCTCTTAAGCTCATCTCTCTGCCATGAATTGATCTTTGAGGTCTTCCTTACCGTCTTTAAAATCCCTGACCCATCTAAAACCTGGTGTGTTATGCAGTATCTCATTCCTGCAAACTTGTTGCATCAATGATTTGGAAAGATGTACACTTGAGTTTTGTTAAAAATTTGATATTAGTCCTGACCTCAACATAGTTTTTTCCATGGCACAAAAGTATATTTTCTTTTTTAAGGATTTCTAACATGGAGTCCTGGTGTGGTGCTGTAGGTAAGCACTGGATTTCAACGTTAGTTTAAACCACAAGGTTAGCAGTTCAAACTCACCAGCCACTTCTTGGAAACCCTATATAGGGTCCCCATGAGTCAGAACAGACTCCACAGTACTTAACAGCAACAATAACATTGAGTCTTGGTGTGGTGCTGTAGGATAAGTACTGGACAGATTATATATATATATATATATCAAAAACAGACATGGCCTTATTTATACCTTTGAAAAGTTAACACTTTAAAGTTTTACATTATCATGAGAGGAAATGTTTGAGTTAGTCTGTGAGGCAGCAAGTAGACTAGAAGAGAGATGTGCTGATAGTTTCAGATTAAGCCCAAGGGTAATCTTCTGCTGATCCTGGCCCCGCAGCCATGGTCTTGTCTGGTAGGATGACCCTGTGGGTCATGGTGAAACCATTCCCAGGGGATGTGCAAAGCCCTTTTGATAGAATGTTCAAGGTCTGTGCACAGTGAGTCTGGAGTCTACACAGCAGAATTGGGGGACCCTTGGAGAGAGAGGTAACACAGCCAAGAAAGCAAAGAAAGATCTGGGCATGTGGAAGAAGCACTGGACTGGGACTCAGAAGATACAGGTTCTAATCCTGACTCTGGTCATTTTATTAATTCTGGCTTGTATCTCCCCTTCAAGGGCCTCCATTTCCTCTCCTGTAAATTAATGTAGTTGAGCTATTAACCACCAGCCTTAACAAGTGATGTGGATACCAGATATTTAAAGTAGCTCTGTATAATCTTCCTGGAGTCCTGGTGTGGCACTGTGGGTTAATGTGCCAGACTACAAAGCCATTTGAACTGCAAGTCAGCAGTTCAAACTCACCAGCTGCTCCTTGGAAACCCTATACAGGGTTGCTATGGGTCGAAATCGACTCGACAGCACTTAACAACAACAACAATCTAACCTTCCTGTCCCTTAACTAAATTACCCTTTGCTGTAGTCAGAGATGTATGTGTATGTGTGTGTTAAATGCCTTTGAATCATTTCTGACTCATAGCAACCCTGTGTAGGATTGCCAAGTAGCCACTGCTGAGTTTCAACTGCCAATCTTGATGTTCAAACAGATCTTGCTGTCAAATGCATTATCCCACAGCGCCATACCAGGACTCCATAGTCAGAGATAGACCTGTTGTTATCTGGTCAACTCTGACCCAAGGGGTCATGTATTCCAGAACAGAACTATGTTCCAGAGAGTTCTTCATGGTTGATTTTTTTTAAAAAAAGTAGATTACCAAACCTTTCTTCTGAGGTGCCTCTGGATGGACTCAAACCTCCAATCGTTCAATTAGTAGTTACTGCTTCTACCACCCAGGGAGTCAAAGATGAGTGAAAGATACTACAACCTGAGCAGTATCAGTCAGGCCTTCTCACTGGCACTATCTCTTGACCCAACTCAAGCTTTATGAATAGCAACAGAACACTGTCTGATGCAGTGCTGGAAAATAAGTCTCTTAGGTTGGAAGGCACTCAAAATATGACTGGGGAAAAGCTGTCTCCTCAAAGCAGAGTTGACCTTAATGACATGGATGGAGCAAAGCTTTCAGGACCTTCATGTGTTCCTGGGGCACCACTCAAAATGAGGAGAAACAGTTGCAAATATCCATTAATAACCAGGACATTGAGTGTACAAATTATGAACCTAGAAAAAAAATTGGAAGTCATCAAAACTTCAATGGAACAGATAAAGATGAATATGCTAAGCATTAGTGAACTGAAATGGACTGCTATTGGCCATTTTGAATCAGCCAACCATATGGTTTACTGTACAGGAATAACAGATGGAAGAAGAATGGTGTCCCATTCATCTTCAAAAAGTATTTTAGGATGAATCATGAAGTACAATGTAGTCTAGGATAGAACGATATTCATACGCTTACAAGGAGGATCAGGTAATACTACTATTACTCAAATTTATGCATCGATCACTAATGATGATTAAACTGAAGTGTTCTACCAACTTTTGGAATTGCGGTGGCTCTAAAGGACAAGCATTACACTGTGAACCACACAGTCAGTGGTTCAAGCCCACTAACTGCTCCAAAGGAGAATGATGAGAGTTTCTGCTCCAGCAAAGTTTCTGCTCCTGCCTTGGAAACCCCATACAGGATTGCTATGAGTCAGAACTAACTTGAAGGCAGTTAACAATAACCACCACCAACTTTTTCAGTCTGAAATTGATCAAACATGCAATAAAAAATGCATTGGCAAAAAGAATCAGTAGTTGTAAAATATGACCTTGGTAATAGGAACTATGCTGGAGATAGCATGATAGAATTTTGCAAAACCAATGACTTATTCATTACAAATATCATTTTAAAACAACATAAAAAGCAGCTATACACATGTACCTTAAAAGATAGAACACACAGGAATCTAATAAACTATTTATGTAGGAAGAGATGATGTAGAAGCTCAATATCATCAGCCAAAATAAGAACAGACCATCAACTGCTCATATGAAGCTTAGGCTGAAGGTAAAGAAAATCAAGTTCACAAGAGCCAAATATATGGCCTTGAATATATCCCACCTGAATTTAGAGACCATCTCAAGAACAGATGTGAAGCATTCCACACTAATGACTAGAGACCAGAAGAATTGTGGGATGACATCAAGAATATCATACACAAAGAAAGCAAAAGGATCAGCTACATGCTCAATTTTATGATATAAGTAATTCTCAAAGTGAACACGGCGTGGCTACCCATTTGCTACCCATGCTAGAGAATAAGATCCCTGAGGAACTGGATTGAACCTCAGCATAGTGATCCTGCTTGGTC